AAAAAGGTTTTTAATTGGAAACGTGATAATATAAGCTGTCACGTGATAATTGTTGTCACGTGATAATATGCTATCTGTGATACTAAGTCACCAATCTGGTAGCTGAAAATAACTGAAAATGTCAATGTTCTGCAGCATACGTCAATCATAGATAAAACTTTTATTAAACCATGTCTGATACAAAACTAAAACTGTTGATTCTAAAAATGTTCTTTTGAGTACGATTATTCAATTCTCTGAACTCATGAAATCTTCTTTTGATTACTTATCTTAGTTTCTTCTTATCATCATTGATGACGTCCTCAATGACAAACGGCCATCAAACCCATAATGGATGTGTCCACACCAACCTCTGGTGGCACCGGGAAATTCACATTCCGTGCCTGGCGTCGCATAGTATCCATTTAGATTGACATAAGTACATTCATAACCATACCACCAGGCTCCATGTTCCCTCACGGCGCAGTTCCCACCTATTGTGTCAAGATTACGGTCGTAAGTTGTAAATGGCATTTGATTAGTATCATCAAAGCCGCCAAAGAATGGATCTAGTGATAAAAAGACAATATTAATTAGTTCTAGCACTGTCAATGTCACATTACATCAAGACAGTTTGTATGTTGACAAGCCCAAATTTCATAAACAACAAGTTAATATTCCCACAATCATACAAAACGAGTAACTATCCCTACAATCATACAAAACACATCGTCCGGTTCATCGCAGATGTTATATACAATTGTTATATATTATGGCAAAGCAGGTCCAATATCAGGTCAGTTGAACCACAAATATTTGCCATTGAGCTTGCTGGTTTTCTAAACCAGTCAGTGAGAAACTTTGCTCTATCAGAGACCAGAATAATTAATCTTCGACTGAACGTAGAATGTTATGATTAGCGTTATATTGTGCATATTAACTGCATTCTACACAAATACATTGAAATTACCATAATAATTATTATGTATAAACGGATACCCAAAAATAATCTCTTAATTGACAGAATAGCAAAATTTAATATCTCATATCAAACAAAATATAGCAACATTAAAAATTCATCAGACATGAATTGGTTGTGCTATAAATAAGATAGGAATTTCCAATCTGATTATTATACTATTCTTTTGTTATTGTAATATTGTCGTCTTTTATTTCTTTAAAACATGTATAATTTAAAGAAACTGTACGCCAAAGAAACGAATAAATAAGAAAAGCATAATGGTTTCAAAGCATGTTAGATGCTTGTAATGTCGATAATGTCATAGACGTAGTGACATAAATTGTAAACAAGGTAATATGCTGACTTCAATACAAAATAATAAACCACTATATCTCTACTAATTGCCAAAAACCAACAGATTGAACAGATGTTCAGGTAATCAGCTAATGACTTGTGTTCTAGAAATAAAAATATTTTGAGGAAAAAAAAACATTTTCAAGGCATAAGTTGCCTTTATAACTGTTTAATCTTCATTACGCTACGAATCAAATAGTCGTGAGATATTATGTTTGATAGCCTAAATGTTTCTATGGGAAATTGATTTTTTGTCTCATACTGTAATAGCAGCTGTCGACCGCTTACTTTGTATTGGTTTTTATGGCAGTTTTGCTTTCATTAAGCTAATCAAATAAAAAGTAAATGATCAAAATATAATAAAGGAAAAAGAGAAATGTTATATCAGCATAAATATCTTACCCTTGAATCCATTTTTTATGCACGACCCAATTTTTAGAGTATAATTTGTTCCTTCTGTTAACATAAAGTCTGGACAAGTTTCATGACCTGTTGTACTATCATTTCTTGTCATGTCAAGACGAATCTCTGTAGAACCTTGTTCAGCTAGTTCTTGTATATACTTTAAACCTGCGAGAATATATCAAAAGTAAATATAAACATTTAGAAATTTACAAAGATATTAAGTAGAATTCCGTCTTCAACATTCCATACTATAAAATTACAAACCGTTACAATCACAATAATATTGCGTTCTATTTAGGGACATTTAAACCTGCTGGGTTGCCTAATGCATTAAACTTCAAAAATTTATTTTTATCAATTGACTTCAACAACTTATGTTTATAAATATACTTCAGCAACTTAAAATGTTTATCAATACACTTTAATAACTAATAAGCTTATCAATACACTTCGACAACTAACGTTTTAAATTATCTATACACTTCAACAAATGAATATTGTATAAATACACTTCAACAACTTAATATGTTTTTCAATAAACCTCAACAACTAATGTTTTTCAAACTACTTCAACAACATATGTTTATCAATAGACTTCAACAACTAAATATGTTTATCATTACCCTTCAACAACTTATATAAGCATTGCATTACGGTCAACAAGAAATATTCTAAGTGTATTCGTTAATTAAAATATTTGTTTAATGTAAGCAAAATATGTGTTTAATGTAAGCAAAATATGTGTTCCATCGTAACGAAACCAATCTTTATGTTACGCTTGCAACAAATGCTAAGTGTATTTTTTAATTGCGATGATCATAATGTACTTTAGATGACTACGCAATAACTGTACTATATTTGTTTTAAAATGCCAGTGGTACAAGTAATATTTTTTCATACCTAGCCACAACTCTCCATCAACGTTTCCAAAGCCATTCTCATACTCTGTAAAGTTGCGATAAAATCCCACTGACCCGTTCATTCGCCTATGAAATATCTATTAAAAAAACGCATACAGGTTGGGTGCTTTCGAATTATGTATACAATCATTTCTTAAATTAAATTAAGTGTTTGTCTTTTAAACGTCAGTTTTATGTAGCTGAGCATTATATTTCACTTAAAATGGAAAGATTGACAAAAGTCCAAAATCAATTTGCTGTTAAGCAGAGATCGTTTGTACTTCTAATCATTTACCTTGATTCAATAAATTGGTCAATACCTGGTTATACACTTTATTACATGCTTTCCTGAAGATACTGCAATCATTTTACAGTGAAATGATAAGATATAATTTACCAAGCAACCATACTATAATTGAATGCGGATGAAAGTAATAAACCATGTAACACGACCCGCATTTTCCGTTATTGAAAAAAAAGAACCGAAAGTGTGTGTTATTATGTAATAAAATCACTGGTGACGTTCTATATTTAGATATGTGACGTAATCATTATTATTATATACATGTTATCTAACCAATAAAAGATCCGACGCACTAAAAATAAGTACGGGAATAAATCAGGGGCAATTTTGCTTAATATCAGGTACGCGGCATTTATTTGTCGATGTCTTTTTAGAATCGAAATAATATATCCAAATCGTTGATTTTCTCGCTTGATATGTCCGTCGTTATATAATTCCTCGCATCCGAACTCCGAATAGTCACTGTGATGTTATTGAGCGATAAAATCACTTTTTTGGGATATATTATTTCATACTTGTACGAGTATTAAAAACAACAAATATTAAATGGATATTTTTTTCGTTTGAGTGAAATATAGAATATATTTTCACGCAACATGATTTAAAAAGCCCAAAATATTTCCCGGGGAAAAAAGCCCCAAAAAAAAAAAATTTAATTTTTAAATTTTATTATCAAAGATAAAAAGGTTCAAAAAACCCCCTTTTTTCTTGAAACGGTTTTTGGGAAAGCGTTTTAAAAAGACTGAAATTAAAAGATATTGGGTGTTCGGATTTAAATTTTTTAGATGAACATTTTTTTTTCATTCTAGGGGTTTGGGGTTTTTAAAATAAAAATAACAAAAAATTGGGGGTTTTTTATTTTCAAAAGTTTTCAAAAACCAAAATTTCCCAAAAGAAGCCTTTAAAATGAATATGACCTTTCCCCCCACTTTCCTATTTTATTTATCATTAAAATTTTTAAATAATATACATTTTGGGCTGAAAATGGCAAACCCTATTTCCCTGGGTTTAATAAAAAAAAATCTATGTTTTTAATAATTTTAAACCTTAAAAAGGGGAATTTTAAATGCAATTCCCCATATTGACGGGCTTTTTTGACTGGTTATTTCATTCTGACGAAAGAGAAAGAATTTAAAATTTTAAAGAAAAAGTTATCCCTTTGGGGTATATGAATTTAGGAAAAAAACAAGCTTGCTAATCCCAAAAATTCAAAAAATACCGGGCCCAAACCCCCGCCCCCTCTGTTTTTCCCTGGGCAAAAATTCCAAAGGTCAGAAGCCCTCCAGTTTTTTCCCTAGTTCTAATTTTTCAAAATTGCCCACTTTTTTTCCTCCAAAGGAGCTTATCAAGGAAATTCTTTTCAATCACTTTGGGTTTTTCTAAGGGGGAAAGGGTTTAAAAAAAAGTAATTTTTAACAAGGGGAAAAAATTTTCATAGCCAGTGGTTTTTTTTTAAAAATTCCCTTTAAATTTGTTAAATCTTATATACACTATCGGGTCATTATGTTTATAACATTTAAATTTGTTAAAAATCTCATCACTGTTACCATTTAAGGGGCTTTTATTGGGGGGACGTAATAAGACAGTTCGGGTAATATCGACCTCGGCACAAAAATCAAATTGCAATTTTCCAGGGAGGTAATGTAACAGTGAAATCATTCTTATTTTCTATGACAAGTATTGCGCCATTGCCATTTTTTCTATACCTATGTTGCTTTTATGTGCAATGCATGATGCATATTTGTTTCCAAACTTCACATGTAAGTTATAACAAAAATGAAGGTAGGGTAATAGAGTAAGCGAAAATCAAGAAATTGCTTAAAATTGAAGAAATTAAGATGTTATTAAAGATTTTTTTTTAACTCACCTCTGAATAGATTATCAGTTATCAAAGACTATCATTTCATTTCGAAACGATAACAATAACAATTTCATAAGAAAATATGCTTAAAAAAGCCAAAAAAGGAAAGAAAGTTATCATCTAATAATGTTATTTTATTTTTATAGTAATTATAATATTCTAAAAAATAATATACCGTTTGTAAGATTATGTATTAATTCTAAAGGAATTATAGTTTTTTTTTGTTTTTTTTTTTCAACCATTGGGATAAACAAAATCAATTGCTTGATTAAATAAATAAAAAATAATTGTCATAAAGACATCATCAAATATATCCTTTATTTTTATAAGAACATGTAGATAATAAAATATTAATTTATTTGCTTCAGCATTTTAAGTGCCAAAGTAAATGTTTTGAAAGACGATCTCTTTTATTCTGCCTTCATTGGGCTAATTTAAGATGAAAAATTATTTTAAGACAAGAAGAAAAAACAGGAATTATTTTAAATAACTTTAAAAAAACGTTACAAAATTTTTCTTTCGTGGCTAGTTGTAGGACTGCCTATTTCCTGAAAAAGGGCCCTCAAAAATTTTATTCTCTTGTTGGGGAAAATAATTTAATAATGATGATTTTTATAATAATGATTAAATAGTAAATAATGATTTAGATAATGGGGTTTTATCTAAAAACAAAAGGGCCCATTTTCAGAAGGATCAATATAACGATCTAGGTAAAAATCGGGATCAAGTATCCTAAGTTATATCTATGTGAACATATAGTTTCTTGCTGGCAGAAGTTTTAAATGTACAATGAGTTTAACGTTTTCTATTCTGCTTTTGCTTAGGTTTGTTTAAAATCAAATTCTACTTATTATATTAATACGCAAACGTAGGATGAATTTAACAAGAATCCTCTGTCTAGTGTAGAACATAGATTTGCAGATCACATGAAAGACAATACTGGTTAGGACATGAAATTTATCAAACAAAAATATTGCGAAAATATTTCTTAAAAAAATTTACACAACATTTAATCAAATAGCAAATAAATACGTAAAAAAAAAGTTTTTACGAACAAATGTCTTTGCATACATGAAAAGTTTATGGTTAATTATGAAACGAGTATATTATTGATTTGAAGGAAAAAACGACGGATAAAGCAAAATGAACGTCGTCGTATCCATAAAACTTTATATTTAAAGTTTGGCCTCCTTCAAGTTGCAAGTTCGCTATAACTTTTGTTTAACCAAGTAGTTCTGCTAGCAATATACCAAATGAAGCGGGACATTGTGGAGCGTACCAATACATATACATGTATCTGGTTTTCAATAATTTCAAACAAAAGAGTTAGAAACAAAAGTATACATTTTATTTTTTATTCAAAGATGGCAATGTTAGTCGAAAATTGTAGGATACGACACAGCTCTAAATGTAGGAAAAAGGAAACTAAAAACAGGGGTTTTGATCGTGGGAAAAAAAATTTTTGCCTTTTCCCTAAAGGGCTATTTTAAAATCACTCCCCCTAAAAATTCCGGGGCCTTTAAAAAACCCCCGTTTTTTTCGGGTTGGCCTTTTTTGCCCGGGAAAAAAATTTTAACGTAAAAAAAATTGGGGTACCCCGGGATGGGGGTATATGCCGAAAGGAAAACATGCATTAACGGAAAAAATTCAACCCCAACCCAAAAGATATTGTTTTGAGGGACTTCCGGGGGTGAATATTTTTTAAAAAAAGCAAAATGCAATTTTCGCCCAAATAAACCCTTTAAAAAATTTCGTAAAAATTTTGTAAAAATTTGGTAAAAGAAATTTAAATTTACCTAACACAAAAAGCCAATATACTCATTTTCCGTCACCATATTTTGCTCTGATGACGTATTACATCCAACACATTTCATTTCCGACGGTTTGTAGAAAGCAACAACGCACGTGCCATAGCGCGAACACTGAAGTGCGCATTGAATATTGCTCGGTACACTAAGTGCACTGAAAACACTGTCGAACTCATTGCACGTTAACCCGCCTAATGTTTCATCTTTCCTAAAACTGATGAATTCAGCAGAGTAAAGAAGGCAAACCGAAATGCCCAGAGCAAATACGAAAAGAATATTAGCTGACGCCCTGTTGCTCATGATTCGACAACTACAAATATACAGAAGTCCGCGTCTGTTATAAGAAGAGATATTTCGTTACATACTGTCATTGCGCATGCGCATACTATGTTTTTGCGACAGTTCATCTCTCACTCGGGCATTTGTTGTGGCGCCATCTCACATTTGTTCTACTGCGCATGATAACTTTGCATGTCAATTATGGTTAATTTAGGCATCAATTATTCAAACATGATCTTTTTGTCTATCCTTTTAATTGCAGTTAGTTTATATATATTTTGAGTTAATTAAATTTTTGTCAATTCATTACTAATGTTTAATTTGTATGAAACGCCAGGTTGACAGAATGTCTCTAGCTGTCCTAGACGAGATATATTCAAATTAAAATCAGTCAGTATAGACAACAAGCTTGACTTTGCTAATGTTGGTATGATAGGAATCAAAGCTAATAATTATCAGTAGTGGCTTTAATGAAATATAAATTGATTACATGTTCATTCTGATAATAATAATAATAATAATAATAATAATAATAATAATAATAATAATAATAATAATAATAATAATAAAAATAATAATAAAAATGTTCTTATGTATAACATTTTTGTATAGGATGGAAAAAACAACAAAAAAAACAATAATAAGCAAATAGATTTCAGATTTTTAATTTTTAGTTTGTACAAAGTTATTTTAGTTCGAGTATATTGGAACCCATATGCTTATTGAAACACTCTCGAATCCGTTCCTGGAACCAACCGGTACTAAGCAATGAATGTAAAGGTTCTTGCTCAAGGAAACAACAGTTTGCCACTGACATGGTTTGAACCAACGAGGTCAGCAA